TCTCTCTCTCTCTCTCTCTCTCTCTCTCTCTCTCTCTCTCTCTCTCCATCTTTTATCGTTCTTTCTCATATATTTTCAGATTTTAATTTAAGTTTATCTTCATAATAGGCTTTTAAAAATGGATCCTGATTCAACCGATTAATATTATGATGATCGGCACGCACCACATTTAAATCATTAACAATATATTCTGAAGTCGTAATTCTGTTTAGCACTTCTTGGCAAGTCGGTCTAGGGGAACTTAAGGAATTAATCATCGAGGTAAACAAGTCCTTTAGTTCGTAAAAGCGAATAGGCTCAGGTCTGAAGGTAAATTAACATGTCACATTATAAACATGATATATAAATTATTAAATAATTAATTTACATGTTTAAATCCAGTTTGAAAAATGTAGTGAGGGCCATTCCCAGGCTATACACATCGACCTTGTTATTGTACTCACCTCCATGCCTGAGTTCGGGCGCTCTATACGAATCAGTGCCACACCCTATGGTGTGTTTTGATGCTGACTCTTCCAATTTAGCTAAATCAAAATCGCATATCTTAATCACCCAGCCATCACCCTCGTTTCTAATCAATATATTACTTTCTTTTACATCCCGGTGCATTATTCCCTTATTATGCAAATAGATTAGACCCGCCAATATCTCTTCGACCATGTTGAGCATAATAAAATATGACACTTTGCATATTGGTTGATTCCTATTCCGCTTAAAAATGGTGTTTATCATGCCATGTACCTTAGTAAGGTTGTATTCGCAGTAATCCATTTTAATGTAAATAATGTCAGTTTGAGCATTTGCCAATCCCTCTTCGCGCCAAGAATCGTAGTATTTGATCACGTTCACGTGATCACAAAACTGTAGTATGCTTACTTCTCGGTCGATATGTTTGTCATTTTTATCCCCTGTAGATAAATATATTTATATAATTCAAATATAACAAGTTTAAACTAGCTGACTAACTCATATATTATTGTTATTACAAATAATATTGAATACCTTTAGATATCTTAACCTGTTTAATGGCATAAATTTTGTCGTCAACTTTAGATTTAACTTTGTATACAATACCCTTACCACCAGAACCAATTAAATTAATTTGATCATAATACAACGTATAATTATTATTTGCCACTATAATTGGCACACAGTCATTTGTAGCCATATTAAACACTGACTGCTTTTAATTATAGGAATCTTATTTCTATAATGAGGTATAAGACTATACATTGCAAATTAATTGATAGTAGCCTAGTTAAATAATTTTAGTAGAACGATAAAAATTTATTTGTTACACCAATAAAATTACGCTAATGTTAAATCACATTAGAATTGAAATTATAATAAATGTTGTGATAAGTTACAGTTTTGACTTAATTTATTAGATTATATAAATTCATTGATAATAACTAATATAATACAATATTTATAATAGATCATCATAATTTATATATTATATACAGCAATACACAATTAAATAATTAATATTATGTAGTCTTTTATCGGGCATATACTTCAATTTTATACTAACAAAAAAATTGTCACCCAGATAACTATAATATGACCAAACTATATAAATTACTTTGCTATTATTAAACTAAATTATCTATCAAGGAAAGTGTTTAAAAATGCAAATGGCCAGAAACGTTAAAGTTAGGCTAATAGAATTAGTTGCAGGATAATTTTGCAACATTTCTTAGAAATACGATTAACATTACATATAGAATTTATATGGTCATTAAAAAATAAAATAAGAGTAAAAACAATGCTAACAATGTTAATAGACAAACAATGTTAAATTTAACATTACTTATTTTAGCTTATTATAAGGGCTTTATGTTATCAAATTAAAGTCATGTTAACGTTATCAAATGTAGTGGCATGATAAATCTTTATAGGGTATAATCAGTGGTGCGCGATTCATTTAAATAATTTTGTTATAGTTATAGCTAAAATCCATTATATTCTTCTCAAGTAAAAATATTTCTAACTAGTTATAACAACACACGCATTTAGTTGAGCCCATATTGAGTTGATCCCTCTGTATTAACTGTGTACAAATGACACGTGATTTATATAGGAGAGGGCGGGGCGATTGACTAAATATGGGCTAAACTAAATGCATGTGAAGTAATTACTTTAAAATTGTGTTATTACAAATAATAAAACTTTTGCTTGTCATCTTATATAATTTATTATTTTATAAAAATATTTAACTTCTTATGATTAGTTAGTTTAACCTTTTTTTTAAGTCACCATAATTATGATTAAATATAAAAAAATTTATTAACATAGTCCTTAAATAAGGCATTACTCACTTTTATTACATAATAAGTGATAGTAACCTAGATACTATAATAATATGTTTTTATTGTAAATAATTTCAATAAAGTAAAAATTTGTATTTAATAAATAAATCATAGTAATCGTACACAGCGCAACCTTCAATCTAGTTAAATTAAAAAGAAATGAACAAAATTAATTTATTTTAAATTTTATTAATTAAATAATACAATATTAAGTAATTTAACTTTAAAATTAAAATAAATGATATAATGTATTTATCAATTTACTGTATATATAAATTAATAGTACTGTATGATTTTTATCATGTTCAGATAATCAGAGATTTTATACAATACTATCGTTGATAAATTATTATATTTTTACTACCTTTATATTTTATTAAATAACAATCATTTTATTTAGTTTTATAAAATTTATATTTCTTAAACAAAAAGTATTGAACAAATTGTCTGTCGATATCAATCAATGGTAATCTGACCATTAGTTTATTTTGATGAAGTCACAATTATTACTATTATCAATTTGCTGTTCAATATACAGTTCTTCTATTATTTTTAATTAATAAAACAATTGTTTAATTTATTAATAATTATTTTATTTAGTTTTATTAAATTTATATTTTTTAAACAAAAAGTATTGAGCAAATTGTCTGTCGATATCATATGAAGCGTTGGGTTCAATGATGGCCAGTACGTGTGCCCTAACGGACGCGTAAGGGATCGACCATTCATTGTGTCTAATAATGAGGTCCTTAGCCGACGGCCGACCGTTTCGTACGTTATTTAATAGACGTAACGTTAGTTTCTTTATCTTCTCGTAATTTGTGTCCAATTCTTGTTCAGTTTGGCTAAAAATTATAAAATCAATTTTGTTAATAATCTTGATATACATATGTATTTGTATAATAAAAAATATATATTAATTGCAGTTACTGGAATCTAATTGCTGACTTAAAATTAATTTAACAGTATATTTAAAAAAAAATCTTGATAAAGTTAAACTATTTCGACTATCCAGGTGTATCCGATAACCAATTATTAAATTTTAGTGATTATACAAAAAAATAATTTTTGTACTAGTTAACAGTTTATATGCAAGCACTGTATTGATAAAATATAATTTGGTAAAATTTTCAGATTGCGAAAAACAAAAATGATTATTTAATCATATGTTTCAATTACTTTAATAATTAAATTTTAACAGTAATTGTAAATCGATAATTTAATTCAATACTCACAACAAAGTGTTGGCATCAAAGTTAAACATATGCTGAACAGTGACGCCCAGACTATACATATCGCACTTTGTGTCGTATCGGCGCCCCTGACGGACCTCAGGCGCCAAATACTCGTCCACACCCGAGCACTCAGTATGGGATTGATCATCATTCAAGTGCTCTGTGGCCAAACCAAAACCACCCAACTTTACAAAAGTACCGGCATCGGGATCGTGTTTAATCATAATATTGCCAGGGTTAATTTGTCGGTGTATAATAGGCGGAGTATTTGTGTGCAAACAATCAATAGCTACAAGTAAGTCATATAACAACTCGGCCATAATGTAATAGCCTACGGGTGGCAATAATTGTCTATGGTCTAATTCAAAGTGAGCTAATATGCGATCGATAGCCTCCCGGAGCGAGAATGAGCACAACTCCTGCTGAACGTAATGTACGGCAAAGTTTGCGAACGCGAACTGATGGGCGAACAGGCGTTGAATATCCGGTCTTTGGGTGTTTAGGTAAC